TATTGCTGTGACAGACCTGACCTTGGTGTTTTGGGGAGGACTGTGGAAGTGTTTGAAACTTTGGGCTGGAAAAGCCATTGCGTGCTCAGAGTTTGTTGCTGTGGAGCTTGGAACAGTTATGCTGAAAGAGTTGTACACAATGGAGGCCTGGCTTGTGAAGCTTCAAAGAGAAGCGGAGACTATCAGGGCTATATGTGTGAGATTCTGAATTAATAATCTGTGGATTCTGGTTAGCTGGGGTTGAAGAATCAGCTGTGATTAAGAAGAGACCAGAATCTGAAGTAAAACCTTTGCTTTTCTGGGACAATTGATGCTGGTTAGCTGGGGCTGAAAGATCAACTGTAAGTAACAAGATACCAACATCACTGAGGTAAAGTCTTCTGGGAGGTATTTCCTCAGAGTCAGCACACAGAGGGGACCCGTGCCCCTATTTCAAGCTGGAAGCAGGACTTGGTAATGTGTAAGAGTCTCCTGCATGGTTCTGGTGTTGAAACTGTGAAAGGGGTCACAGAGAGCCGCCGAGGCTTGGCACTCTGAGAGGCTACAAAAGGCCATAGGTAAAAGTGCAGCTTCAGTTGCAGCAAAGTCCCCAGGATTGAAGGGATCATGGAGAGAATCTGAGGTTTTGCACCCCAGAGGCAATAGCAGGTCATTGGTGAAGGTATAGGCTCAGTTTCAGTGGAGACCCCAGGTTTTTGGAGTTGCTGGGACCATGGGATGACCACCAAGGACAGCAGTAGTTGTGAAATGGAGCTGGGTCTGCAAGATGAGCTGTGTGTGCTGTGGACGGCAGTCACAGAAGTGGAGCTACCAGAACCCTTTGGCGCCAGAAGATCATGAGTGAATCCCAGATGTCCAGCCTTGAGCTACTTTGCTGGACTTTGGTTTTGCTTAGGTATGCCTGATTCTTCCCTTTGAATTAAGAGACTTTTAAAAGATACTATGGACTTTTAAGTGTTTGGATTTTTTCAAGGACTGTGGGGTTTTAAGGTTGTACTGTCTTATGTTGTGATATTAATGTTAACATCTTATCTTGGGGACAAGAATTGGAAAGGTTATGGTTTAATAGTGATGTGTTTGTGTGTCAAGTTGACAAGGGGTCAATTGTGCTGGATAGCTTTAGTGTCAACTTGACATACCTGGGTTGAGGGAGCCTCAATTGGGGAATTGCCTTCATTGGACTGGCCTGTGGCCTGGTCCATGGGGCACATTCTTAATTGTTGAGTGCTGTGGGAGGGCCCAGCCCACTGTAGGTGGTGCAACTCCTGGACAGATGGGCCTGTGTTGCATAAGAAAGCAAGGCGAGCAGGGGCCAGGAGAGCAAGCTAGTAAGCAGCATTCCTCCATGGCCTGTGCTCCAGTTCCTGTTTCCAGGTTCCTGCCCTGAGCTCCCACCTTGGACTCCCTGATGAACTGTAATCCGGGATATGTAAGCTAAATAAACCCTTTCCTCCCCACGTTGGTAGTGGTCAGAGTGTTTTGTCACAGCAATGGAGAAACAAACTAAGACAATCATTAACAGGGACTAGGTAAGGCTGAGTTTTCTCAGGATCATCTAATCAGGTAGAAGCAAACACAAAATTAAAAAAGAGAAAACCAGCTCTTTATCCTTTCTTAGCCCTCTGCACTGCTGATTAAGTAACATCTGGTCAAGCATTCTATTTTCGTAGTTTTGATTGGCCTATTGTATATATTTAATGCATACTTAAATCTCTCAAAAGTAGGAGTTCAGCTGAAAATTGTGTTACCTACCTCTGATTTCTTTCTTCCCTTCAGCTAATATTTGAGAGATTTATGTTCTTCAAAAGACTAAAAACTGATAGAATGCATGATAACACGTGTCTCATCTGGAAGCACTGATTAGCCAGATGTGGTACCTTGCATCTGCTAACCCAGCAGCTGGAAGCTGATACAGGAGCATCATGAGTTCAAGGCTAGCCTGGAAAGAAGGAAAGAAAGAACAAGAAAAGTAGGAAGGAAGGAAGGAAGGAAAAAAAAAAAAAAAAAAAAAAAAAAAAGGAGGAGGAGGAGGAGGAGGAAACATACCTTTTATTTAAGAATAAAGCACCTGTTACTTTTATTTTCTTAATGAGCTGTCTTTCAGTGGTATAGAGTGATCCCAAAGTGTCCTCATTAGTGTATGCTGGACAGAAATTAAATAAGCATTGGATACCGATCTGAGCTTTAAGCTGGTGGAATCTGAGCCAAAGTAGACTGTTTAAATTGCAAAGTTTTCCTGAAGAGTCAAATGCACAAAAGATGATTAATTGTAGGACTAGCTTCGCTCATGAATGCTGTCTAATAGCCAAGACTGATATCCTCATTTACAGAAGGCAAAGTCTAGGTAATCTTTTAAAACACTGTCATTTCATAAATACACACGTGCGCACACACACACCACTCACATAGTTGGGAATTAACCGCCCCCATTTCATGGTTTTCAGTAGAAATTCTGTGTGATTGACTGCCCTTATTTCTGCCTCTACTTGTATGCATGTATTTTCACACAAGTAGAACAGTCTCAGTGAGTTTTAGATGCTGCTGCATTTTATACACAGACCCAGGACTACAGTAAAATCTACAGATAGTTATCTATAGCAATTTTGGAATTCTGGGTAAATAATATAATGACCTGATATTTTTCTACAAGACTATTTTGAGGCTGTGTATAGTCCGTTATAACTTAATACTTTTGTTTTCATCTTTTCA